TGGTTGTTTTGCTCTATTTTGCATTAATTATTCATGATAATCTACCAGAATTGGGGAAAAAACCCCCTTTGCCAGTTCCTTTGGTATATACTGTTACGGGAACTTCAGCTTTCTTTTCTAGAAACCCTTGGAAATGAGAATCTCTTTAATTCTTGCGAGCGAGGGATTGTTACTATTAACGAACTGTTATGGGATTACTTTTCGAGTACTTCCATCTCCCGTGAACAGCACTTGAATGTGGGTCAGTCAATCCTACAATATGTCGCTCCGGATTATTGAAAACAGCAGTTCATATCCATCTCGATAATCGAAAGCGAAGCGGGTTAATATTCCCATACCTGGACACGGAAATAAATGCTCATTATATGGGTATTTAGCGCGGTAACGCAAACGAAATCGGAGATGTTGAGCAAAACCCGGTGAGGAGGTGGAAGTACTGGAAAAGTAATTCCATAACAATTCGCTAATAGTAGCAGCCTGCCGAGAAAAAGAGGATTGGCTTTCGTTACTAAAAAAAAATGGATTGTTTTTGTGGGTAATCAGTTGCCAGCTTTATTCGTCCTGTTTTTTAGGTGGTCGTCAACTGCAAACGATCCCAATTCTGGGACAAGAGAAATCAGCAATGGATCTCTCTGCATTCAGACTTGAAACAGTGAGTTTTGGTTCATTTTTATTGCATTAGCAGCAATAACGATAAGATCAAATTATTTATGATTTTGGTCAAAAAAAAAAAAAAAAAAAAATGGGTTTTCGTGGTTAATTGAACCTTTTTTTCTGTTTTGCCATCTTTTTTCCTCCCTTTCGCTTATTATACTTTAATGCATTGTAACAGGTACAGGCAATCTTTGGCAACACGCGGGCCTAATTTACATATTTGTTTAATCTCTCGGGCCACTTTTTGATAAAACCCAAATAGCAGCGCATCAGTTTTGTCCGTGCGACAATGCGTTTTTGCGCTAATCGTGATGCTGTTAGATCGTTAACAGTCTGAATAGTGGTTGCTTTACAGTTTAATTCATGTGCCTGTGTTTT